GGGGGGGGGTTAGGGGCTGCAAATAGGACGGATGACAAAATGGGGCATCCACGCTGGTTCTGTTTTGGGAGTGGTGAGTTTGGGGGTTGCCTGCACCATGCCCCCCCAAAATGGAAGAGGTGCAAGGGGAAGGGCTGCACCCCACGTCCCTCTGTCTCCCCTGTGAGACGTGCGCAGCCCTTGATGCCGCAGCTGTCTTGCAGGGACTCAGATTATGTTAAATTCATTCCTCTCTAATCTGAGATTTTCTCCCTGGGAAGTTGTGCGGGGTGACAGCGTCACCAGCTCCGTGCTTCAAAGCAGAGCCAGCCCCGGCCGGGGGCACACGCTGGTGGCGGAGGGGGAGGCCGTGCAGGGGTGGTGCCCCAAGGATCGCCCCCACCATGGGGAAAAAGTTGACTTTTGGTAGGGAAACCCCAGCTTTGGTCCCTGGGAAACTGGGCTTGACCCGGGGCACCCCCATAACTGGAGGGCAGTGGCCATGCTGGCTGGGACACCTCCTCCCTGAGGCTGGCAGGTTTTGGGGTGCCCTCGAGGACAGGGAGTGTGCTGGGGAGGGTACACAGCTTTTTGCGGTGGGGTCGTACAGCCCCATGCCTGCGGCAGGGGGGCTGGCCAAGGAGCCCCCCAAGGTGCCCCCCAGGCCCTCGGTGCCAGGAGCAGCGTGCCTCCGGGAGCTGCACTTCCTCCTTAAAATAAACATGGGAAGCGGAGATCCGATCCCCGGTCTGGGGATTTAACAGCAGCTTCGCGTTTGCTCTTGGCATGTTAATCCACGTGGCCCTTGGCTGGGGCCAGGCGAGATGCTCCCTGGGGGCTCCCTCTTCTGGGGCCACCGAAACCCCCCAGGGCTGTGGCTGGAGGCAGCAGTGCTTTTTTCCCAGGCGGCAAACGGAGCAGGTAGTGCAGCCGCTGGATGCACGAGCTCTCCAAAAATCAGGGGGGCTGAAGGGTGCACGAGGGGTTGGGCGTGGTGCTGACCGCAGCTGTCCCCAGCGGGCAGGGGCGCTGGGTGGGTGGGTGTCCCCCGCTGCCCCCACCAAGGGGGACACTGTGCTGTGCAGGGAAGGGAAACATGTTGGTGCTATCGCTGAACGCTGCTCAGAGGTCGAAGCTCTTCTGTAAGATGAGTTCCAGGTTGCGCATGCCCCGCTGGGAGCCGGAGCTCAATTCTGCTCAGAAAATACCCATTGGAGGGGAAAAGGGCTTGTTTTCTCCCAGCTGGGCTGCGTAGCACCCCACTCCCCGAGCCCTGCTGCAAGGATGAGCCTAAGAAAACATTGTTGGTACCTTTAGCCCAAAGTCGTGTGTGTGACACCGTTATTTCCAGAGCCCGGCGTGTACGGGGAGGACGGGGAAAGCTGCTCGCAGCAGGCTGGCTCTAGGCACAGGGATCTGTCTGCTCCCTCGGCTGCTTCTCCCACCCTCGAGAGGGATTTCCCCAGGTGGAAACTTGCTCTGCTGCAGCAGACTCAGAAATTGTCCTCCAAAACGCAGCTTTAAAAAAAAAAAAAAAAAAAAAAAAAAGGACAAAACCAAACCAAAAAAAAAAAACCCAACCAAAACCCGTCCCGTAGCCATCGAGGAGTACATGCCAGTCCCTGTGCGGGGCTGAGCACGAGCGCTGCGTGGAGCAAGGCAGCCGAAGAGCAGGGTCTTGTGGAGAGGAAATGCAAACGTATGAGATTTTTTTTTTCTTTGTCACGCCGATGTGAAAAGAACTGTGATTTATTTTGGGATTTCTGTCATCCTAGGTGTATTGGAAATATTTGCTGTGTCTCAGGGGATTGTAGGAATACGAGGAGTTTTCAGCAACAAATTTTTAGCGATGTCAAAAAAAGGAAAACTCCATGCAAGTGTAAGTAAACCCCCTCCTTATCAGTATGTATTGTTTATTAAAGGCCTTGTGACACCTCCACGTGCACGCAGCAGCGATGCTCCCGGGCAGGGCCCTGGCGTGCCGAGCATCATTGTGTGCCAGGAGAGCTCTGTGCTGGGTGGCATCGGCACTGCGCTGACAGATAGGGGACAGGTGGAGCCGAAATCCCCCAAAGCCCGTATCATACTGCACTTAACCAAGAAAAGCAACTTTTTTTTTTTTTAGTTTGCAGTTGGATATTTGCATCAAAAGGACTTGTTCTCTGAGCGTTGCTGGTTTATTTTTAGCAACTTCTGCAGCATATCGCGCAGACGGTTTTAGCCAAATGTCTCCCGGAGAGCGGCACACATGGTGCCGGGAGCCTGTCTGTGCCCATTCACACACAGGGAAGGGACCGAGGCAGCGGGGTTTGGGATGGGTTCGCCCTGGGTGCACACAGCTGGGGGGGAACCGGCCCCCAGGGAGGGCGTGGGGCTGTGCATGGGGTTTTGGGCAGGTGAGGTCCGGCCCAGGCAGGAGCATTGCAGCTAGCGGGGAAAAATCCCAGTGAGTATTGTCTCTGTAGGTTGTTTTGCTGCAGGTCTGGGTTTCCTGCAGGTCTGTTTGTACTTTTCCCAGACTTTTTTGCCTTGAATTGATACCCTAAGTTGATTTAACTTCTTTTTTCAAGTTAAAAATGCTGCTTCCTAATTTTTTGCTGCTACTTGTAGAGATCATTTAAACAAATGAAAATAACCACAGTGTTTACATTAAAGTAATTCGCTTTCAAAAGTGTGGATAGATGCCAGACCCGAGGAAGGGTGTTTTTAATGCAGCACTTGGATGAGCTGTCACCCAAGTTTGTTCCCGGGGAGCCTGTTCAGGGCTGATTGTCTGGAAGAGGGAAGAGCAAGTTGCCTGCCCCGTCGCTTCAGGGCAAACCTCATGGTTCTGAAGTGGACGCCACTGATGTGCTTATGCTGCCCGAGTCCGCAAATTGCCTTCAAGTGAGATTTATGAACTCGCCTCTCTCTCCCTTGAGTCTCATTGCAGTGTTGCTCCTGAAACCTAATGATGCTTAAAGGGTGAGCACATGGTTGCTTATTTTAGGAAACAAAATCAGAGTGGGAACAGCATCTAGGGGAAAGGGAGAATCGCTGTGCAGAGGAAAACACAGGGGGAAGGGGATGGGGCAGAAAAAGGACAGGGCAGGATGGGAGCAGAGGAAAGGTAAGGGAAGGAGAGGAGGGCGAAGCAGGCGGAGCGGGATCCTTGGACCTTCCAGAGCCTCCCCTCCCTCCCTGCATACAACGGGTCCCTTATTTGAGCTGAAGCCTTGATTGATGCCCCAGCACAGGCAGAAATTAAATCAAACCTCGTTGGTGTATGGTTAATTGTCTCCACACAAAGGGCAGTGCTGGAGAGGGACCCCAATTAGGCGGGTCAGAGCGGGGGGTTAGGACACACGATGCCCTGCTCGGATGAAAGCTGCGAATTTGTAGAAACTTGACCCAAATGTCTAAAGATTGCTGGGCTAAATAATGCCAATAATGCAAACCTGGCATCTGTTGTTCTTTCCTGCCTTGGCAGGATAAAGTTATTTCATGGCCTAATGAGTTCTGCGCAGTACAAAGCCGGTCCTGCGCCCGTCACTCAGGGCAGCGCTTTGATATGGGAGTCACGCCGGTGACTTTGTGCTGAACCACAGATAAAAGTCATTCTTGCAGGGATTCAGGCTTCTTCGAAACTGGCTCTCGAGGCCCCATTTTATCCAAGTGCGGTGCTTTACAGCAGCCCTCCTGCACTTTTTTTTTTCTTTTTTTTTTTAATGGCAACTTAATTAAATTACCAACCGGTTCGTTTTTAGAGGCACCGGCTTCAGAAAGTGACAGTAATCCTGGCAATTATCAGTTGCGTGCACAGATGGCTTCTTCCTCGTTAAATCCTCGGTCCCGTGTTTGTACATTTTTAGCACAAAACGGGCAGGAGTGGGTCTGGTGTCGGTCTCGGGAGGGGCTGGCATGAATCTCAAAGGTGAGATTTGTCCACAGGGACCTCGGGTAATTTTCCGTTCTCGGGAGTTGTTCTGAGTCGACTGAATGCTGTGGTCTTTGCGCGGGCAAATCTCCACTGAATTGAACTTTGAAGCTGAATTGGTTTCAGGATTGCTCTTTATGGTTGTGTCTGGAGTTGCTGCAGTGCAAAGCTGACGCCCAGCCAGCGCGCGGTGCTGGGAGAAAGGTCTGTTTTCCCTGGCTGGAATGGGGCGAGTGCTGAGCTGAGAAGCTGGGACATGAAAATGTGTCTGAGGGATGGTGAAGCAACAGCCGGGATGCTTCCCGCTGTGGTTCGCAGTCTGGGGGTGAGGGCTTCCCCCAGTATGCGCTGGCTGTGGGTCTCCTTCTTCCCCATGCTGCCAGCGGGAGCAGATCACGGCATCCCGCTGTGTCCTGGGCTGGGGACCCCCATTCTTCCCCAAATCCCACTCTGGAGGGGATGTGACTCCAGCTCTGAGGAAGCAGTTCTCCCAAAACTGATTTACGGAGGAACTGTCCTGTGATGTACCAGCCGGGGACCTGGGCAGCCCCCCTACTGCCACCTCCCTTTGTGGGCTGCCATTGCCTGAAAGATGCAGGGCCAGACTGAAAACATGAATTCGGCTTAACATGAGGAATGCTTTGCATCGAGAAGGTGACTGCCTGCGCACGAATGATGCAGCACCATGGATTTATAAAAGACAGGGAAAGCAAAAATGAGTCATCGGGATGATGCTTCTTTCAAGCGAAGAGCAAAAGGAGACTTAATTCAAAGTGTTACGGGTGAAAAAATGGCATCGCTGGTCAGGGACTCTGTCACTTGCATTGCAGGACTCGGCTTCTCCGGATAAATTAGGGGTGTAAAACTGATCAGGAGTTTTGAAGCCTTGCTTCACAGCCAGCCTGCGGTGCCCTGGGCATCTCTGGGGCAGCTGTCAGGGCACCGGGTAACGTGCCCAGCATCAAAGCGTGGCAAAGGATTTTGGAAGCAGGAGGATGCAGCCAGGTATTGCAGTGCTGGGGACACGTAGCTGGGGTGTTACCGCTCTGTTTTTATATTTCTCTATGCTTTTATTTCTTCCTTTCCCCCTCTTGAGAAAAATAAGGAGCTATTGTGGGCAGTATTCAGCCTGTCCTCTGAGGTGGGGGGGTGATAGCTGGCATGTGGGGTGGTGATAGCTGGCATTTGGGGGGGTGATAGGTGGCATTTTGTGCTTTCCCTGGGGTCAGGATTTGATTAACACACGTTTCATTTTCTACCAGAGATGTGACTGCAGTAGAACACCGGCCCCCTCATGCCTGCTCACCAGGCAGACCCCACCTTGCTTCTTTGTCCATCTGCATAAAAAATCCTTTATTTTCCTGGGACAGCTCGGAGCAGGGGGCTGTGTCCCGAGCTGGAGCTGGTGCTGAAGCCCTTCCCACCCTGAGGGCTGAGCATCGGTGCTGGCTGCGTCCCGGCATCCCTCCAGGGACATTGCCTGGGGTGCTTTTGTGGGCGCAAGGTTGTGCTGGTGGATCGGATGTTCTAGGGGTGTTTTAGTGGATCTGATATTTATCCCTTTGTGTTGGGGGAAGCCTTTCCCCTCAGCCATCCAGGAGCCAGTGCAGCTGCCCTGTTTCTCAGAGGTGATGCTCTTTGGCTACAAGTCATTTCTTCAGGTTATCAAGGGACAAAACGCCCCAAGTTCATTTAAAATGAAGAAGGAAAAAAAAAAATCCAATACAATCAAAGCCATGTTCAGTGAAGCAATGAAAATCTGCATGCAAATTGCCTTTCCAGATGAGGAAGTGATGATTCAGTGCGCCAGTGAGGGGTGTGAGGGCAGGGATAGAGATGGAGCAGAGGCTCAACCCCAGGTCCTCAGTGGGGACAGGGACCCTCGCCCCCCCTCTTCTGGGTGGGACAGACTGGAGGAGACCTGGGGTGGGAGGGGAGGCACTGGGGCAGGGCAAGGCTCTCGCAGCCTGTTGGTTTGTTTTTTTTTTCTCCAAAAAAGTCCAAAATTGGGTGCTAAGCCCAAAAGCACCTGTGCTGGGAGGTTTCCCCCATTGCAGAGTGAATTTCCTGAGTGCCCCCGCGTTGCTGCTCACCCCTTTGGACCCGCTTTGGGAGACGTAAAACCCCAGCGAGTGTGTTGGAGCAGGGGACAGGTCCGAGCAGCCCTTCGCTAACCGTGTGCCCCGGCTCTGTCCCCACAGGCTCGCTTCACGGCGGACTGCCAGTTCCGGGAGCGCTTCCAGGAGAACAGCTACAACACCTACGCCTCGGCCGTGCACCGCAGCCCGCGGTCAGGGCGCGAGTGGTATGTGGCGCTCAACAAGCGGGGCAAAGCCAAGCGGGGCTGCAGCCCCCGTGCCAGACCCCAGCACGTCTCCACGCACTTCCTCCCCCGGTTCCGGCAGCCCCAGCCCCCCGAGCTCGCCTTCACCGTCACCCTCCCAGAGAAGAAGCCCCCGCTGCCAAAACCCAAGGTCATCCCATCCCCACCTCGAAAAAACCCCGCACCTGTCAAGTACAGGCTGAAATTTCGCTTTGGGTAGCTGCACCTCAGTGGGGATGCCGGGGCAGGAGAGACTGGATGCTCAGGGGGCTTTTTGGGGGGGACCCTGTGGAAGACCTGCGTCCCCCCGCCCCAGGTGGAGCTGGGCTTCGGGTTTGCTCTGCCCTGCGGACCGGATGGCACCCTTGGAGGTGTGCGCTGGGACAACGCACTCTGGGCTTTCCAAAGAGTATTCCTGTGGTGAACCGAAAACACTTGGTGGACTTTGGGTGAATTTTCTGTTGTTGAAAGCAGAAAGGTACCTCTATGGTGAACATATTTTCTTACCTTATTTTCACTAGTGACTCTTTTGACAATCATTTTCATACAAGATATATGTTCGGAGCCAACCTCTTAAGTGCTTTTTTTTTTTTCATTTTTTGTGGGTTGGTTGTTTTTTTTTTTTTGCATCTCCTTTTTGCTGCACTTTTTTCTTCTGACCATACCTCAGACACTGTGTATCCAGGTCTGCCCCTTCCCCTTCTCTTACAAACCAGCTCCTCGTTTCCACAACTAACAAATTCATTCACCTTATCACCTGTGGTGCAAGAGGGTCTTAAAACTCTTTGTTGGCAATAACAGATATATATTTTTTTATTTTCCAGGGTTGCAGGCTCTGGGAGGGTGGCTGTTGGCAGCCCCCCAGCCCTGCTCCCGGTGGTCTCTCCTGCTCATTCTCGGACAGCTGGAGGAGTGAGTCTCCTTCTGTCCATCACAGCATCGCTTTGATGTCCATGTTTAAAATACCTCTGCCCCGGCCCCGCGGCATTCTGCTGGCGTGGGGAGGGCGCTGTGCCGAGACCCCTCCCCGCCTGGCGAGCCCCCGCTCCCTGGGGACGGGGTTGTGTTTGGCCCCCGATTGCCCACCAGTTTCTTCCGACAGTTTGTGCTGCTGATTTATTGTGTCATTCACAATATGCTTATGGAGGTATGGGGGACAAAAAAAAAGAGGTTTTATTTTATAGCAGCTGTGGCAACATGGCAATAAACTCTGTTACAGGTACTTGTATCTTCGGAAGTGTGTCTTTCCCACCCAGGTTGCCCTGTGGCCCTGACTGTCGAATTGATTTTCCGTCATGGTGCTATCTGTGGAGCAATTGTGCGTATGGAGTTTTTAATTGGCATTTAGCTGTGTTGTGTATGTACAGAAGATGGTAGCATTGAACCTCACTGGCTAAGCCTTAATAGGAGCCCAGGCAGGCTCGCGTTAGCAAAACCCCTCCTGACCTGAGCCCTGCTTGTGTTTTACTCGTTGATCAGCAATAACGAGGGTGGGCAGCACTGTCGAGCCTTTTCTCCAAATCATACAAATGGTTGTTTCCATTTAAAGGGTGGTTCTTCACCCATTGTCCTTCTGGGCAGCTGCTGTCCGGATCCATCCGCTTCACGCAGCAGCAAATGATTTTTGCACAAGGGCCCGTGCTCCATGGCAGGGATGGATGGTGACGCCAGAATAAAATATAACCGTGCTGCATTTTAGACTTGTGTAATCTCTTGCCTGTCTGCTGTCCATGCTTTTTTTTATTTTCTTCCCCCAAGGTGAAAAAAGAATGCTGCTTAATTAGCTGCTACACATTTTTCTCAGAGGGTTTGGCCAACATGGTATCGGCGACAGGATGGAGCGGAGCAAAACCAGTGCCCGTGATTCCCTGGCGTTACGTGCTCCGCGTACTTTGCGCCAAGACAAACCTCCCGATCGCTTCTCTGGTGCAGTTGTTTGGGTTCGGCTATCGGCTGGGGGGGGCAAGACAAAAACCCACAGGAGCAAAAGCCAAACACAGACCCGTTGTGCCCCCCAGCCGCTTCCAGCGAGAAAGCCCAGCTGTGAATTTAAAAAAGTCAAATAATGCCGCTTATCTGCTGTTCAGTAGCCAGGCAGAGTTAGGGGTAATTAATGCTCAGTGAAGCATGGGGCCATCTAAATGAACGAACCAAATGAAAACATTTTCAGGAGCCATGTAAGAGGGTGCTGGCCTCAGCCTCAGCTCCCAGCGCCTGTGCCCGGGGTGGGTATGTGGAGCTGCTGGGGCAGGTGGGAGAGCAGCGAGTGTGCTGGTCCCTCCTGCTGCTGCTGTGCCTCTGAGGAAATATATATTTTATTCTTATTTTTAGGAAAATTCTTGTCACTAACTAGTCTGTATGACCAAAAATGCTTTGATTGCTGTATTTCTGGGCAAAATCTGATCCTGAACTGAGCTGCCAGGGCAGCATCAAGTGTTGGCCACAGCAGCTCCTGGGGAATGCAGCTCGCAGCGAGGGACGAGAGTGCACGGGGCTGCAGTTTGGGCACGTGGCCCTGGGGATTTATCTGAGGAAGGAGGGGTGCTAGCAGGCGTGGGAAGCTCCTGGGGGAGGCTGGTGCTTTAACATTCCAGTAATTATGAAAATGCAATTGCACTGTTGTAATGAAGAGGTCTGTGGGGCAGCAGGCGATCTCCGATCTCCGCAGAGAGCCTAATGCAAGGTAATTGAAGCAGTGTGGACTGACAAACCCTTCCTAGTCCTTTCTGCCCCTCTTCTGCAACAAAATTAGACAGTTTTGTTTATCAGGAGAAGACTGACAGCATTTCAAAAATGCGTAAATATCTCTGTTAAATTTAAAAACAGCCTGTGGACAACTTGAGAGGCTATTAAGGAACTAAGGTAACTTACTCAGCATGTCAAGTTTGTTGCACTTCAGAAGTGGTTTTGGTGTTGGCTTACCTCTATTTACAGCTGTTGATTGCATTTAAATGCTTTTGGCCGATGCTTTTGCAAGCAGAACAGAGGCTGTATGGCACTGGCCAGCTGCTCCCTGAGCAGGATGAGGAGCCCAAAGCCCGGGGCAGAGGCCTCGAGCCTCCTGCGGTTCTGCTCCCAGGGCAAGGGAGAGCCTCTGCTGCCCTTCAGCAGACAGGGATTTACCAGGAGAAAGGACACGAGACCAGAACGCTTCTCTTCCTATTTCACGTCAGTTGACAGAACTCCCGTCTTCCATCCAGGTGGGAGAATTCCTTCTGTGAAATCACCGGGAGCAAAAGTACATTCAGTATTCTGACCTAAAGGAGGGGAAACTGCTGTGACAGCCCAGAGAAAGAAGAAAGGCTCTGGCGCTGGCTTTGCAGCTTCAAAGATGTAAACTATTCTGTCAGCTGCTCCTGTTTCATCCAAGGGGATTTATCGTCTCAGCTTCAACAGCAACAGCGCTAATTGCTGCACTCTTAAACAGATTTTTGTACTTGTTTTACAGAATAACTCTTCATATTGCCTTTAAATCTCACTGCACATGGAGCAAAAACCTGCTGGGAAAATCAAGGTGGGGGGAGCTTTCCTGCCCCTTTTTTGCGGGGTGCTGAGGGCACCAGGGCCCGTTGGGAAGGGGTTCTCTATGTTTTGGGACTGTGGGGAGGTCTGCCTGCTGGAAGCATGCAGGTGGGGGGTTTTGCATCCACCAGCTGGGTGGTCTTCAGTGGGGGACCAGAGGCCTCTGAAGCAATTTTAATCAAGGAGCAGACTCAGAGCAGGGCTGGTGCGAGCCTGGCAGTGCACGCATCGAGGGAGCTGGGACAGATGAAGACAACACAGACATATGAAGCATTGCAGGACGCCAGCACGATGCCTCCAGGCTCTTTGTCAGCAAGGCTAAAAATGGTGCTAGTGTGCGATGTGGATCGATACCTAAAATTCGCCTTTTTTTTTTTTTTACTCTTCTGTTTGCTTTCTGAGTCATCCTTTCCTGCAGGCTTTGCAGATATAAAAAGTGTCAGATGTTGATTAGGAAAAGTAGTGTATGGAGAGAGACACCGCCTCTGGAAGCTCAGCTCAAAGTGTGACATTAGCAAGTGCTGGAACAAATCTCAAGGCTCCTGGGAGCACCTGACTTTCTTTTTGCTCTGGAAAGCTGGTGTTTTACCCCAGCCGGCTCGCTTTGCTGTGAGCTCCGCTGGGCAGGCAGGGCTGCTGTCCCCCGCGGGTGCACTGCTCGCACGTTCCCTCCCAAAGGGAGCAACTGCACCTTGGGCTTTTCACCCGGCAGGAAACAGGGGCTTGAACACCTCCTCCTTTGAGAATGTGGGGGTATGGGGTGTCACTCTTTGGTTTGTGTTTTTTTCTTTCTCTTCCACCAGCTCTGATTTACCACGGAGGTGCTGGGGAGAAAAAGCTGGAAATGGAACAAACGAAGGGGATTCCCAGATTCCTTCCCAAAC